CCCCTCAACCCCAAGTAGAAAATGGCTATCTTGATGAATTCTGCGATTGAATTTTCACATTTCAGGATGCACAAAAGGCGTTGTCCAAACTACTGGTGATCAGTGTCATACTATGTTGCGCGGACTCTCCGAAACACTGCCGCACGTATCGGATTCTCCAAAAATACACTGCTTTTGGAGAACTCGATACGTACCCGACGACATGTTCGGAGTATCCGAGCAACATAGGTGCCATATGGTCGTTTGACCTTGGAGACTGTTGGAATGGCTGCACAAGGTTCTTGTGCCGTATATAGTATAATGGCTATGCAGAATATAGAACATGTTCTGGATCTTTGAGAAGCTAGAAAACTTACAGCCTAGTAGTATCAATCGGATCGGTTTCGATTCCCCTTCCCGGATCCTTCCTTTTGATAGAAGAAAAAAAGAGTGGTGTAATTTGATCAACAAATATACAATGTTAGAAGTATTTTCTTCCTTCCTCTTTTCCATATTTTTTTTGGATTTTTACATACCTATACACTATTTGAAATCTTATTACAAAAAATGTTTATATTTTGGTATTTACCCGACCTAAACACATTTTAGTTACAAAATATATGCAATCCATATATATATACAACTAATTATATATTATATAACTTATTTACAACTTATCTACAATTTTCATACATTATTTCTACCCATTTATATACAACTACAATATCATACTAACTTAGATACAATTTTTATACAATATTGTTCAACTTTCATACAATATTTAAATAAAAAATATATATATATATATATAAACAAATAATTTTTCTACAATTTTACTACAATTTTGTAAGTATAATGTATGTCATGTCTTCTTCTTCGAGTTTCAATATGAAATTTAGTCAAAATCAAGTCTAATCTTTACCAAAACACCCTCAAAATTGAGATATAAACTCCAAACCATATTCCCAATTGTTTGCAACAACACTCAATCCAAACAAATAATGTTTTTTGAAAACCCAAATTCGAATTCAAAGTTTCAAAGCTTTTTAATGCATGTCAATGGTGGAGTTGCTGCTTTCTTTTCCTTTGCTTTACATAGAGAGAGACATAGAGAGAATTTTCAATTGTTTGTAACAACACCCAATTCAAACAAATAATGTTTTTTGAAAACCCAAATTCGAATTCAAAGTTTCAAAGCTTTTTATTGGCTATCAATGGTGGAATTGTTGCTCTCTCTTCCTTTGCTCTACATTACTGAAATTAGGGATAGAGAGACGTAGAGAGAGCGCACAGGGGAGAGAGAGAGAGCATGAGGGAGAGAGAACAAGGATGAGAAATAATTGATTCATAATATAAATGGATACTCATTTAATTCCTAAAGTGTGTATAATTGGTAAATTTGTATATAAAAGGTAATTAAATTGAAACTTGAGTAGGGAGGGTAATAAAGTTTCCAATAGTGTGTAAATATGTAAAAATCCCTTCTTTTTTTTGGCAGGAGTGAGGTAGGAGCCGGCCCTTCTCCGAACGCGGGATGCTTTGCCGGGCTGTCCAAGGGCGGGGTGGGGGCATATCATTTCACTTTTAGTTGCTCTTAAGAGACGCAATTTTTCATTGGTTTATGTATTTATTGTGGTTGTATTGTACATGTGCCGAACTTAGTGGTCTTCTGATCCTCTGCAAACAATAAAAAAGAAATTATAACTTTCTTCAGTACGTTCAACGCTGTAAGTAGTCAACGTCTCCTGCGGTTGGCAGGTCCATATTGAAACTATATTCGTCAACGATTCCATAAAATATGGTTGAATAAGTACAATCTAATCAATTCGCCATTATTTCTTTGTCCGACTTGACTTGAAGTTTTCTTTCCTCCCCACCTTCCCTCTTTTTGTTCTTTGCTTTGTGTTTCTTTAGAAACAAAAATATATTCATGAAAAAACCACCTTAAGTAATTTCTTCCATCTGCTTAAGCCTTGAAGGATAAAATCACTTGGTATTTGTGTTGTGGAGGTGTAGAATAAGGCTGGTGCAGATACCACAGTAAAGTAAATAAATAAATTACATAATAGCTAACAAAAGATGCACAAGAGAATAGTGGCCTGCAATATTTTTTCCTGATAAATCAGAATAATGGCCTACAATGCAAATGCATAATCTGATGGCATGCAAAAAACTCCACGCTACTGATTGGTGCCTCTAGTCATTGCCACTAATGAGTTGAAATAACAATGCTTCATTTACTCGTTAAACTGGTTACTATGTTCTCTCATTCCATAAACCAGAATTCTTAACAACTTGATATCTGATATGCAGGAGGGGAAAAAAAACTGTTTTATATAACTTTAGCCTTCTGCATGATCATAAATCTTCTTCTGCTTATTCCACCAACATGTTCACTAAGTTTAGCCAAGTGAGCCATTCGCCTTTTCGTTGATTCTGAGGCTCCTGTCTGCTTTGGATTTTCCTCTACAACAGGTTCATCTTCGACACACTGGAAACTCGTGTCTGTGGAGCTATTCTCACCAGAAATCTGAATGATCTGCTTCAGAGTTTCTACTACCTGACTCATCTTTGGTCGATCTTTTGCAGATTTTAACAAACAAGTGTCAGCTAACTTTGCAATCTTTCGAGCTGCATTGAGCGAATACTGGTTCTCCAGCCTTGGATCCATGATCATACCAAATTTCCGGCTATCAGCAGGGTAACGTTTAACCCACTCCAGAAGTTTATGTTCTGATTTCGGTCTGTTCCTTTCTAGGGACCGCCGACCGGTTAGGATCTCATACAATACAACACCAAAACTCCACACATCACTTTTAGCTGTGAGATGTCCTGTTTCTATGTAATCAGGTGCTGCATATCCCCATGTTCCGACAACCTGGTTACAAAAGCGTGTTATTCATGGTCATTTGCCACTGAGATATCTAGGTATATTACCATAAGTAACTACTTCATTTTACACTGAAAATAAGAAAGAAAATCATTTGTGCTTTCTTTCTCATAAATGGTGTAAAACCTACAAATCTGAGAAGATCAATGTAACATACCGCTGTAGAGACGTGTGTGTGCATGCCAGTTGGGCCCTCTCTGGCAAGCCCGAAGTCTGAAAGCTTTGGCATGAAGTCATCATCCAAAAGTACATTTGATGACTTGAAATCACGATATATCACCTGTAAAATTGACAGAAAATGAACATGAAATTTGGATATATATACGATTGCTATAAAGCAGCAGAGCGATGAATCAGTATTTCCAAGCCTTCTAGTGGCTGATAAACAGAGACTCTACTGTTAAAAATCCTTTTAAACTGGAAAAAATGGGAAATGGATATGGAAAAATTCTCCTCAAAGAAATATTTCTTAGGTCATAAGGCTGACACCATTTCAATGAACCTTCACCTTCAGCAGAAAACTTTACTCTACAGTAAATGTTAGGACATCAGATGGAAAAAAATTAGAAGCAAAGCTATGAAGGTTCAGCATTCGGATTTAACTCTTTTAAGAATCTGATCACTCAAAATGTGCTTCCAGAAGTGACATCCATCCAATCCAAATTGTTAGATGGCCATGTAATTGTCAACTCAATACTCTATCTCAAACTCTTATTAAAATTTCACAGAAGGCTAATCAGGTAATATCTGGATGCAATCTGCATTACCTGACACTATTTCTCTCAAATTTATTCTAAATTTGAAGACTTATAGTGATTTTGATTTTTTTTTTTCTTTTACAGAGAAACATAATAAATAGAACTCATCCATACTCATCATCTGTTTTAATTCTCCTTGTTATTGCTTGACGTAAAATTGCAAATAGTATCAACAGGGTTGTATATTGAGGAAAAATCTGGCTAAGAGTTTATACTCTTGTAATCTTATAACTCAAAATTAGGAAGAAAACCACAGAAGCTATTTAAAAAAATACCTGAACTTCCAATTCTTCATGCAAATAAGCCAGTCCCTCAGCTGCTCCAAGAGCCATTTGCAGTCTTCTTTTCCAAGAAAGAAGAGGAAAAGCGGTATTGAAGAGATGATCTTCTAGGCTTCTGTTGGACATGAATTCATAAACAAGTAGCCGCTGAATACCTCTTTCCCCATCAACGGCACAATATCCTATTAGTTTGACGAGATTTGGGTGATCTACCACTCCCAGAAACTGCACTTCTGCTACCCATTGTTTATGACCCTACATAACAATTAGAGGATCAACACGATACTACAGCTTACGATAAGATACAGCTTAAATTGTTTAGCTTCTAAAACAAAAGACTCCAGACTTCAGTTTGCAAGCACACAATAATTATCTAGAGAAGCGAGATGTGATAACCACAACTTGCTGCAAAGTAAATGCTGAAAATTAGATCTTTCAACCAATGGCAAAAAAAAAAAAAAAAAACTGGAATAAAATNCGAGATGTGATAACCACAACTTGCTGCAAAGTAAATGCTGAAAATTAGATCTTTCAACCAATGGCAAAAAAAAAAAAAAAAAAACTGGAATAAAATCAGATCATTCGAAACAGCTTGCAATATAGAAATGATACACATTTCGGCAGAAATCGAATGATAATTTGAACCTCTGCATATCACAGTAGATCAAATCGCCAAAGAAAGCTAAAAATGACTTGGAAATAGTATTGAAAGCACAGTGCAGCGAGAAAACAGAAATGTAAATAAATCAAAGTTGTCTATGATTCCTCTCTTCCATAACCAAGATACATACGTACAACACGTACATTCTCCTTGAATAGTCCCATGAGGATGCGGAAGCAGCTGCTAATTTTAAGGGCATTACTCTTTTTAGTAAGATGTAAGATTAAAACATCACCTTTCACCATAGAAAGAGGCCAAATTGTTATAATGTAAGTAGCATACATCTTCTGTAACATAGCAACAAAAAATAGAAAAGACAACTGAAATTACGCTGCTTACATAGACCTTTAAAGACAACAAAGAATGATGCATATCATTAATGCTTCATTACCAGACAAAGCTGCTATAAACAATTCCACATATAGCAACAACTTAACAGATAAGGCCATACTCAAGCCACTAAAACACATATGTGGGCATTTAATAATTTGCAACATTGGTCACTAAGTTTTGGTTACCAGCCAAACTTAACACAAATTCAAAGATCACATACACACACACACACACACACACACACACACACACACA